TTCACGCGCTCGACTCTGTATTATGCGATAAATTTAGTAACATTGTTCGCCCTAGTGGCAATCAGCCAGATAGTATTCGTAGCCAACTATAATTAAAGATTTTTTAATTCGATGAATTAATGATAGCCAATCTAATATGATGACCAGAAAATACATGACGATGATATATTATTATATAATAATGATTGTGTTGTATAATAATGATTATATTATATAATATATTAATCAATATGTAATGAAATATATATTATGCTGCCGTTAGCGTTAATAGCACAAAGGCCATTAGAACACACTAATCCATAAATTAAATTAATGCTATTAATTTACAGTTATACTCTCTTAAAACTTTAGAATCGATCTATCTATCTACAGCAACTTAGTTAGTTATATTTCATATTTCAGTGACTTTTTAATGTAATTGGGCAACACAGTGAAGTTTAATTGAAAATAGTTCACATAGAATTTATGGATAAACATAAATCTGTTTTCTCTCTTTGCGGACGCCAATATTTTATCAACAATCTTTTATAATATCATTTCACATTTTATATATATATAAATGTTTTTATATATTATATTTGTTTCATATATATTTTATATATATATTTGTTATATATATTTATATATACATACGTATACATGTTATTTATAATTTATTTATTCTTTTTTCTTTTTATAATAATCTATAATGTATCTATCTTCTGTAAATATATATATGTATATATATATATATATATATAAATCGTGTGTGTGTGTGTGTGTGTGTGTGTGTGTGTGTGTAAGCACTCTGTATAATATATTATCTATAATTATTCTCATTATGTATTATTTATAAATATACAAGTCAATGTTTAAAGAACGGTGAGCCAATGTCACCAGCTAATGAATTGTGTGTGTGTGTGTGTGTGTTTTATATGTATGTATGTATATGTATACATATACATATGTATATATATATATACAGGATATTCTATAAGTTTTGACAAAGTGCTTGCGTGTAAGGGTGCTTTCTGTACACGTCTACCGATATGATCGGTGTTGTTATGTGTCATTGCGTAGATATTTTGTATGATAAAAAAAACTGCACAACAACATATAACGTCATTAACAACTAGCGTGTACAGAATAGGACCCCAGGTAGAGCGGACTAAACTGAGTCGAACTTATCGGACTCCCTGTATATGTGCTTATATGTATATAATGTATAAATGTATGCGCACGCACGCACGCACGCACACTTATATACAGTTTTATATTTTATTTAACTCTATATAGCTAACATTTCAATAATTATTTTAACTAAATCCACTTTTTATTACTATCTAGCTCGTATCATCCCTTCCTATATTTTTCCTACTCCCACAGAAAGAATGATTATAAAAATCTTTCATAGTGAATATCTTTTCCTTCCATCTAACAGCGGAAACGCAATAGATTTGTCTGAAAATTTTTAAACCGATCCTAATATATTTAACAACCTGTCGGCTTACTTCTCGGTGAGAAAGCTTCAAGATTTATTAAAATGTTCCATTTGGCTCATATTTCATCATATAAACGGAGATTTCTCAGCGTTCCATACAAACGCTTCTTTTACCATACAAAACCCCGAAATTACGTGATGTGGCTAATGTAATCGAGATTTTCCAAGATAATAATTAAAATAGTCAACAGTAAATTCTCGTTCGATCGAATATTTGCTATCTCTAATAAATCAATTAAAATACACGAAATTGCATTGGTAAAAATTCAAGCATATAATAAGGGAAAATGATCGAGAAACGCTCGTGTACAAATAAAAGACTTACAAAAGGGATTTTACGAACAAGCGTTTACGTCATTTCCAGAAAGTAAACGCCCATACACTACATTACTTTCTCCCAAAGGCACGTAATAATAAATTCCAATGTCAAGTCCGATTAAATGAAACTAAAGTAAAAAAATATATATATAAATAATCGCAGTCAACTGACGATCGCCTTAGAAGAGGAAATAATTAGACTAAAAGTTCTACATAAATAATGGATTATTATCTGAAAATGTCATTTGACATGATGTGCAAAAAATTTACTTATCTTAGTGAACAAATGCTAGCGCATGCAAATAGATTTTTATTCTTTAGAAATACACGTAAAAATCTCCTGAATAGTCGCCGCGACCATATTGGATCGTGACATCATAAGCGAGAAATGACATGTTGAAGTTTGTTCTTCTTTTTTTTCTTGAATTTCACTTGTTTGAACTTTCGAATCAATGCACAAGATACACAGTACCAGTGCGATGATTTTGAATCAAAAAATCCAAGTGATATAGCCTCCTCGGGGAATAGAGATTCCACATTCAGATCATTCATATTCATTCAAAGTGTTACTCTCAGAATCGATACTAGCTCTTCACTTGACGAAAATTGACATGTTGAAGTTTCTTGCAAAGAGGATTGAACAGAGCGGAAGGTCTTTATGAAATTGTAATATATTTTCACGTATATTACTGTCAACGCTCTTGTGAGTCTGATGCTGCATTTACCAATAGTAAAAAGTAAAAAATTAACAGAGCCGAACAGAATTCGAATTTCGAACTCAAGATTCCTCATTTTCATACCTCTATACTAAAGTTACACAACCGAATACTTCGTTATATCTGATATTCCGTTCTATTTACATACACTAAAAATGAAATTAGGAACGTAAATATAAATCGGACACTCGTGACATACGCGAACCTTCCGCTCTATTTAATCCTCTTTGATTTCTTGCATGCTATTTGTAAAAAAAATTTGAGTGAAATAAAATAACAAGAGTGTTTTAAAAGTAAAAACTGATAGTAATAAACAGTTAGTAAAAACGCGTTTACTTAATGCGCACGTGTAATATTTTTTCACTTTAAGGGCCTTTTACGACTACTTACTGTCTGTCGCAGGAGGTAAGAATTGGTTCGACTCATTTTTATAAGTGTTTTGAAGCAATCTCTTATTTTTTTACCCAAATTCTCTTTATTTACAAATGGCATGCAAGAAATTCTAACATATTATTTCTCGCTTATAACGTCACTATTCAATATGGCTGCAATTACTACTCGACACTTAGATTTTTAAAAGTAACAACGTTTGATGTTAATATCTACATATAATTCTCTTTCTCTCTCTCTCTCTCTCTCTTTCTCTCTCTCTCTCTCTCTCTCT